GAGATGATATAGTTTTTGTCCTTCATTCTGTTGGTGTGATGTATCACATTTATCAATTTGTATATGTTGAACCATCCTTGCATCCCTGGGATGAATCACACTTCATCATGGTGAATGATCTTTTTAATGTGCTGCTGGATTCAGTTTCCTAGTATTTTGTTGTGGTTTTTTGCATCTGTGTTCATCAGGGATATTGGCCTATAGTTTTCATTTTTTGTTGTTGTTGTTGTGTCCTTGTCTGGTTTTGGTATCAGAGTAATGCCGGGATGCAGAATGAATTTGGAAGAATTCTGTCTTCTTCAATTTTCTGGAAGAGTTTGAGAAGAATTAATATTAGTTGTTTTTTAAACATTTGGTAGGATTCAGTGGTGATGCCATCAGGTCCTGGGCTTCCCTTTGATGGGAGAGTTTTTATTACTGCTTCAGTCTTGTTACTTGTTTTGAGTCTGTTCAGGTTTTCTTTTTCTTCATGACTCAATCTTGGTAGGTTGTATGTGTCTAAGAATTTATCACATCTAGATTTTTCCTATTGGCATATGGTTGTCAGATTAATATTTCTTAAATACAATTTTCACCATTTTTCTCTAACACAAAACCTTTGGTGGTTTCATAGCAAACTGAAGAATGAAATTAAAACTCCTATATATGCATTTAGGATTATTCATAATCTGATTCTAAACTAGCCTTCCATTTTTATCACCCTAGAATTTTCTCATAAGAAGTTTCTATGTATTATCAAGTCAATTTGTTTCACTTCAGCAAGTATCTGCTAACTACTGTGTCAGATACTATGTTTGTTGCTAGGGATAAAAAGATAAGTTGAACATTCTTGTCTTCAGGAAATTCACTTCTTAGTGTAGGTAAAAAGATATATACATAACTAATTATACATGAAAGTTTATGGATTTGAATGCTGGTTCAGTCTTAAGACTAAAAAGTGTATTTAGAAGTGGGATTTTTTAAAAATAAAAAGCAGAATACCACAAGGAATCAAAAAAATGGAAGAGAAGTTGAAAACTGATGAGAAATGTTAACAAAATTTTGGAAGCTAGAAAGCACATAGTTAAGTTAGCACTCCAGAGAAAGCTGAGTGCCTGAAGTGGGTAGCCCAGTTCATCCTATACAATATACCAGATGGGCTCGGAATTGGAAACACTAGAAACTTCATAAAGGTAGGATGCAGAAGGGAGTTTTTAAACGGAAAGCTTAGTTGAAAGTCAGCTTCACCGTGAAAAGTAGCTGCCTAGCTGAACACAGGGAAAATAAGAAAAGCTTACACCCTGTATGATGAGACCCCTCAAGACTCTATGTGGAAGAAACAGATCCATAAGTACCTGGGATTTCTTTGAACTTTTGCATTTATTTCTTCAAAAGAAATCTATGCATAGTTTCTATAATATAGTAAATTTGTTTTAATGTAAAAAAGAGTTTTCCCAAATCTTCAAATGAAAATGAAGATCCAAGAAAAGTGTGTCTTACTTGGCCTATAACTTAGTACACAAATGCCCTGGCACACTTCCATGTACCACTGAGTGTACATACCTTAGAGTAAGACTCTGATATTCAAGGTTATTCATAACCTGTTCTAGAAAATCTTTCTAGCTTTAGGTCTTACTATTTTTTCCTATATACCATGTGTTCTAATTATGTGGCTTCACTCAGTATATGAGATTCTGTGCATTCGCTGTTTGTTTGTTTATTTATCTGAGACAGAGTCTTGCTCTGTCACCCAGGCTAGAGTACAGTGGTGTGATATGTGCACTATTCTGTGCATTTTCTATTCTGTCTCCACTTTACCGTTCAAATTGGTATTTTGTTTTATGGGAAATGTCTTTATTCTCTCTTCTATTCATCCTTTAGGGCTCAATTAAAATGCTACTAGTGCCCAAATGTGTTACCCTCCCTTATCCAAGCTCTTCTATTGACTTGTTTGTATTTCTGTTTTAACACTCATCACTTCCTGTATTTATTTGATGAACTTTTGAGCCACTACCCAAAAGGCCCTTGTGAGGGGCTAGAATACAGTCTATGAAGGGTGAAATTTGAGTGTTGCTGAGTTTGGGATATCTGGTATCTACATATCATGTGCATTAAATACTCAGATGTGTTCCCTTACTTTTGGTTTCTTATTTTTCCAGTCTTTTATATTGCCTCACAAGTGGTAATGCAGAATAACAGATCTGATCATGTCACTACTCTATTCACAAACCTGATCCTCATGATGAGACTTGTGGTCCATCACCCCAGTCCATCCACCATTCTCTGCCTCTGCCATCTACTTTCTTATTTTTGTTTGCTTGTGCTATTTGTTCACCCTCAGATGTTCTGACTCCTCCTTCAACATACTTGTTCTTTAATGGCTTTGATGGGAGGGAGGCTGTGGAGAAAGGACAGAATTACTGATACTTTTTGAGACTTTCTCAGTTCTCTTAGTCTCTATAATGTGTAATTGCCATCTCTTGTTGCTCACAGATCAGGTGTTTCCAGTTTTATTCCTCTGGAACACATATGCCAGCACCTCAGTTCCTTAAATGTTGTATCTCTCGAATTAAAGATCTGTTACTTTAAAGTGTATATTTCAAATACATTAATTCTTTAACAGTGTAGGCATGCTGTACTCTGAATTAGTGAGGGACACGTTTTGGTGCCCAAACTTCCTCATGTCTCAGTAATTCTTATTATGAAAACTGGGGCAGGGGAGATTTCAACAATTCAGAAAGACCCTAAACATATTTATAATGTACTCTCGTGCTGGAGTGCAGTGATTCAATCATAGGTTACTGTAGTCTTGAACTCCTGGGTGCAAGCATTCCTCCTTCCTTAGCCTTCTGAGTAGCTGGGACTATAGGCATGCACCACCACGCCTGACTAATTGTTTTCATTTTTAGTAGAGGTGAGGTCTTGCTATGTTGCCCAGGCTGATAACTCCTAGCACCTCCTCCTGCCTCAAGTGATCCTCTCTTCTCAGCCCCACAAATTGCAAGATTATAATCAAATGAAATAACCAGCTCATAAAGTCTTAATCTCCTGGGAGTTGGCTATCTCTTACTACTTCATCTGTTCTTCTCTTAGTTATTACTATCCTTTTTACAACTTCATAAAGTATATTTAAAAATTGTTTTTGATGGGAACATTAATCTGAAACACAAAGCAACTTTTAGAAGCTTGAGGAAATTAATATATAGAGGGGGAAATACCTATTTTCTACTTGTACTTCCTTAGAAAAAGAAGTCATTCATGTCATAAAGGTTTATTGGCAAGGTGTTTGGCAACCTGTGTGTCCTCTTTATTATGTTATTTGCAGACAAAAGTTCCTCAGTTAGTGTACTTTTTGACATATAAAGGTACTTGGCAACCTAAGAGCAGTGTTAAAACTATTATGATCTAGTTATATTGCAAAGGGCCTCTTATTGTCTAGAGCTTAATAAATGAGAACTTGTATTGCAAGCAGCTTTTTGTTTCCAAATGAAGCAGTTTTTTAAATTATAAAAACAATATGCATTATATAAAAATCAGAAAATACGAAGAAATAATTATTTTAATAACTTAACATATATCTTTTCATATCCTTTATAATGCATATATATTCAGCTATGTATATATAGAAATAAAATATTACTTCTATGTATTATTTAAAAAGTCATACTATACCCATATAGTACTAATAACTTTTAATCACTTGAGATTTTGTGTATCTGATATGTGCAGAGCATGGCCTTAAGCACTATGGAACATTGAGAAAACTATTAAAATCCCTATCCTAAAGATATTTACAGTTTAGCTGGATAAGATAGTGCAAACGTATAAAAAGCAATGTGAAGTCCAGTGCAATGGCTAAACTATTAATATATGATATGCACCAAGCACTCAGGAGAAATTAGAAGCTAAGGCTTCAAGGATCAGTGGAGGTGGGAAGGTGAAAGGAACTGAAAACCTAGCATGTAATCTGGGCTTACTAAGTGTTAGTTGTTGCTCTCATCCTCATCATCCCTCCAGATTTTTAGTCTAGAAGTCAGAGTATTGATTGCACTAATAAAAGTAGGGAAATTGAGAGGAAAAGTTGATATTTCAACTTTGAGATGTGTAAATGTTGTCTGGATGAAGATCTGTTTCCTAGAAATAGTTAAAGATATAGAGGCAGAGTTCTGGTGAACAGTCAAAACAGCTTAGATAATCATCTACTTATAGACATTAGATGAGTTCTCCAAAAGGAGGGTTGGCAATAATTGGTTTTATTTCACTTTTTAAATTTTTAATGAGACAGGTCTTGCTATGTTGCCCACCGGGCAAGAGTGCAGTGGCATCATCATAGCTCACTGCAACCTCAAACTCCTGGGCTCAGGTGGTCCTCCTGCCTCAGTTTCCCAAGTAACTAGGTCTATAGGCATGTGCAACCACGCCCAGCTAATTTTTCTATTGTTTGTAGAGATGGGGGTCTCACTCTTGCTCAGTCTGTTCTTGAACTCCTGACCTCAAGCAGTCCTCCCATGTCAGCCTCCCAGAGTGCTAGGATTACAGGCATGAGCCACTGCGGCCAGCCCACACTGTCGTTTATGCCATCTAAAGTTGACACTAAATATCATGACAAAACATTTAAAATTTTTATTTGTCAGGTAGTTAGAAGAATAAGAGTGTGTGTTTATTGTGCCTAGAGTTAAAATCTCTATCTTTGATATGCTAGCATTTCTTAAAAGTTTGCCATGGTTTAATAGTTGGGAAATATTAAATAAGAACATGTGTGTGTGAGTGAGAATGAGAGATTTGTTTTCTCTTCAAAAAATTCTCATGTGTAGCATAAATTTCCAAATTCTCAAGCTGTTTTTGTTCTAGTTTTGCTGGATCTCATTATCCTTGTCTAGCTTTTCACTTATAAATCATGTTTCATATATGTGAACGGCATTGAGAATATGACCTTTCTCATGACCCTGTAAGCTAATATTTTACTTAAAATTTCCCAAAATAAATGTCACTAAAACATATACATTCTGCTTTCCCCTTAGGTAAAAATCTCTACACCAATGAATATGTAGCAATCAAACTGGTAAGTAGAAACTATGTTTGTGGTAATTAATGTTTTGGTGCTCTTATTGTTTATATCTTTTTACAGGAAATAGTTTTACGTATTCACAAAAATACTAATTTTTTGCCTCTGCATATCATCCTACATAGTCATTTTTCTTCAGTTACAGTGTTACAGTGATGAATCACTGTATGGTATGTAATGCAGTGTAGCTAAATGCTGCGAACTATGGCGTTAGCAATGATGAATCAAAAACTAGTTGGTAAAAAAAATAGCTGGAAGAACTAGTAAATCTGTGAACTCTGTACCTTTCACAGAGCTATCTTAAAAAGATAAAATCATTTGAAAGTATTTTTTTTCTTGAACATAACTGATCTGTTTTTTGTTTTGAGACAGAGTCTCACTGTGTTTCCTGGGCTAGAGTGCCATGGCATTAGCTTATTAGCTCACAGCAACCTCAAACTCCTAGGCTCAAGCGATCCTCCTGCCTCAGCCTCCCAAGTAGCTGGGATTATAGGCACACACCACCATGCCAGGCTAATTTTTTCCATATATTTTTAATTGTCCGTCTAATTTCTTTCTATTTTTTTTAGTACAGATGGGGTCTCGCTCTTGCTCAGGCTGGTCTCAAACTCCTGAGCTCAAATGATCCACCCACCTTGGCCTCCCAGAATGCTAGGATTACATGCGTGAGCCACTGCACCCGGCCATCCATTTTTTTAAATGTAACATATAATGTACTTCTAGTAAAAAACTATATCTGATCATTTAATCATGGCCTTAAAAATATGTCAAACATGCAAAACACATCATGAGGTCAAATTAGAAGGGGTCAATTGATTATATTAGTATTGATCTTGTGAATAATGAAACTAGTCATTGAAAATAGTATCCTATTAAAAAAGAGAATTAATAATTTTATTTTTGTGGACTAATAATTTTAGAAAAAACAATTCTTTTATATTTAAAATTGATTAAAAAACCATTTTTAGTCATGAAATCGTGAAATACTACTAGTTTCAGTGAAACTGTGTAAATGTCCTCCTAGTGAATCCTATTAAGTTTCTCAGTTTACAGGTAGCTTTGGGCTTTATTAGTTGGAAGTAGAGGAGTTAATGGTGGAACAAAATATCTTGTGATAATTCAATGCTATTCTTTTCTAATGAATTGCATTTACTACATCCACACCTGTTCTGTGGTGGGTCCTTTCCTCTCATTCAGCTTGCTAGTTTGTGGAGGAGTTAGGGTTGTCTTGTGAAGAATTGACAGTTATCAGATTAGTTTCTCTACAAAGGGGTAGACAGGGAATAAGTCTTAGGTAACTTCTAGGGAACCAAGTATTTTCTTTTGTTTTTTCTATTGGAACTCTTTTTGGGAGCAGAAAATGCAGGTGAAATATCCTTTCAGATTGAATATTAAAGGATTAACCATACTTTTTTATTTTTACAAATTTGGTTATAAAAGTATTCTCTAGTACATCTGTTTTTTATTTTTTGTTTTACTGCTCTGGTAAGTTGTAATAATTTTGATTATTTGAGACTACTAACAAGAAGCAGCAGTCCCTAAAACACTTTAAAATTTTGCTTTATTGCTATATATTCATTAGGCTTTTATACCTATTGACCTGTATAGATAAGCTTATATAACACACTGTTGATATGATTGACCATTACATTTACTTTCCTTTTATTAAATTTTTACTCTGCTTTGTATGGCCAATAATTAAAGCTAAAAATAGAATTCTTACCATCTAGTATGATGTGTCTCAGTACCTTATTTCTCTTTCAAATAAGTATTTGATAAAGGCATTGTAGGGGTTAACAATCTTGTCTGTGGACTTCCTTTCTTGCTGTTGGGCTCTTATTCTCTAAGGGAAATACGGGGGCAGTAATTGAACTCTTTTCTTTGTAACAGCAAAATTTGCCATAAGCATCACACTCCTACAAGGTAGCCATCTGCTGCTGTTGGTTTAGGATTTCAGGCAGGCATGTGTGTTCCAGAATAACCGTGATTCTGCAAATGTTCTGGCAAACAGCCAGCCTTCTTTGGAAATGTACTCAGCATCTGGCACAAAAATGCAAGGAAGCCCTGCTACTGCTGTTTCGGTTCCACTTTGTTTGGATCTTCATTGCAGGCTCTCATTTCTTGGGTTTCGAAGAATCCTTATACAAAGTAAACAAAATACTGTAATGAGCCCTTCCTTTACATATCACCCAGACTTTTAGGATTCTTTTTAACACAGGTTTTTCTAACCATTGTTTTTTTGTTTTTGTTTTTGTTTTTTTGAGTTTTTGTTTTTTTGTTTTTTTTGAGTCTCACTTTGTTGCCTAGAGTGCCATGGCATCAGCCTAGCTCACAGCAACCTCAAACTCCTGGGCTCAAGTGATCCTTCTGCCTCAGCTCCCCAAGTAGCTGGGACTACAGGCATGCACCACCATGCCCAGCTAATTTTTTCTATATATGTTTAGTTGGCCAATTAATTTCTTTCTACTTTTAGTAGAGATGGGGTCTCGCTCTTGCTCAGGCTGGTTTGGAACTCCTGACCTTGAGCAATCCACCAGCCTGGGCCTCCCAGAGTGCTAGGATTACAGGCCACTGCACCTGGCCCTTTTGTTTTGTTTTTTGAGACAGAGTTTCACTTTGTCACCTGGGCTAGAGTGCTGTGGCATAAGCCTAGCTCACAGCAACCTTGAACTCCTGGGCTCAAGCTATTCTCCTGCCTCAGCTGCACAAGTAGCTGGTCTGGCAGGAGCATGCTTCCATGCCCAGCTAAGTTTTTCTATTTTTAGTAGAGATGGGGTCTTGCTCTTGCTCGGGCTGGTTTCAAACTTTAGACCTCAAGTGATCCTCCTGTGTCGGCCTCCCAGAGTGCTAGGATTACAGCGTGAGTCACTGGGCCTGGCCTCTAACCACTGTTTTAAAAAAAAAAAAAAATTCTCTATGCCGCTTACCTTACTGCCTTCTCCAAGCAACTGTTTGCTATGCCTTTTTTTTTTATAGTGCTTCCAGAAAAGCATGAAGCCCCCAATTGGCTGAGCACTCTAGAGTTTTTACTTTTTTATTTACTAACTTGGTTACCCAAAATCATATTGAATATTTCCTATTAAGGTTTCCATCATGAAGTTTGAGAGTTTATATTTAAGGAAGGATCTGTGGTTTTTTAATTTATTGCCTCTTATGGTTTGTTGGAATCCAAAGGATATTTCTCCAGAAAAAAATAGTTCCTTTTCTAGTGTTTTGATCAACCTTCTAATTCTGTGTTGATTTTTCATCACTGTTTCTATTTGGTTCCTTATGAATTCTTAGTGATTTTGCTAAAGTACAAATTTTATACCTGGTTGCTTTGATAGTGATATAGTAGGAGATCTATAACCAAATAGAGATTCAAGAGTGCTCCTTCTCTATCTAAAGAGATAAATGAATAAGAAAGTGACTACAGTATAATTAATCTTATGTACTTTTCCTTTGATTATAAGAATCTTGAGGAACTTGAATTTCATCTCCTAATGATTGCTGATTTTACACTCTAAGGTTTTGAGTTCTTTCTTCATAGAGCTCTCTAGGGATATGAATATTCCAGTCTGCCTGAATTGATTTAGATAAAACCTTCCTAGAAACAAATTGAATAGTAGAAGGAATATAGGAGACAACTTCAAGGAAACTTCTGAATCTGTGACTTACGGATTCTTTCATCTTAAGAAAAATGCAGAAAACTTCAAGTAGCTTCAGAAAGAGCCTTCAAAGATCATCAAAGAATTAAATAATCAGAACAATAAGGAAAGGTTAAAGCAACGGTTCACACAACCTTTTTGGCATCAGGGACCAGTTTTGGTTTCATGGCCTTTTACCACTGCTCGCAGGCCATTCACCTCCTGCTGTGCAGCCCAGTTCCTAACAGGCCATGGACCTGGTATGTGGCCCAGGGATTAGGGACAACTGGGTTAAAGGATTGAAATTACTCTGCCCAAAAAAGAAAGTCTAAGAAGTGATTGAATAGTTTCATTATTTGAAGATGGCTACTATAGTATTCAAAAGGTTATTGAGCTATTTTATTTTGTTTTTAAAGACTTAAGACGAATAGGTTTAAGTTTCAGTAACGAGATTTAATATTAAAAGCCTTCCAAACCATGAAACTTATTAAACACCAGCATGAATTATCAAAGGAAGATGTGACATTTCCTTCTTTGGAATCTGTTTTATAAATAAAATAACCACTCAATGGGGAAAGGATGGTGTTTTCAACAAATGGCACTGGGAAAAACTGGTTATCCACATATGGTGAAGTTGCATCTTTACCTTACATCATATACAAAAATTAACTCAGAATGAGTCAAAGAGCTAAATGTAAGATCTAAAGCTATAAAACACAAGAAAATATAGGGGAAAAACTTCATGACATTAGATTTGGCAGTAATTTCTTGGATATGACACCAAAATCAGAGGCCAACAAAAGAAAAAATAAGTTGGACTTCAACAAAATTTAAAACTTATTTACACTGTCAACAGAGTAAAAAGGCAACCTATGGAATGGGGGGAAATATGAAAATAATAAAAGATTTACCAGAATTTACCATTTAAAACTATTTCTTAAGTATATAATTCAGTGGCATTAAGTATATTCACATTGTTGTGAAACCATCACCATCCATCTCCAGAATTTTTTCATCTTCCCCAACTGAAACTTTGTACCTATTGAATACTAACTACTCATTCCTCGTTCTTCCCACCTCCTGGCAACCACCATTCTACTTTCTGTATCTATGAATGAATGGGACTATACTAGGTACTTTATGTAAGTGGAATCATGTATCTGTCCTTTGTGACTGGCTTATTTCAGTCAGCATTATGTATTCAGGGTTTATCCATGTTGTAGCATGTGTCAGAATTTCTTTTCTTTTTAAAACTGAATAAAATTTCATTGTATGCATTTATCACATTTTTATTCATATATCCATTGATGGACACTTGGATTGCTTCCACCTTTTAGCTATTGTGAATAATGCTGCTATGAACATGAGTGTACAAGTTTATCTGTTTTCAATTATTTATTTTATTTATTTATTTTTTTGAGACAGTCTCACTTTGTTGCACAGGCTAGAGTGAGGGCCGTGGCATTAGCCTAGCTCACAGCAACCTCAATCTTCTAGGCTCAAGCAAACCTACTGCCTCAGCCTCCCGAGTAGCTGGGACTACAGGCATGTACCACCATGCCCGGCCAATTTTTTGTATATATATTTTTAGTTGGTCAATTAATTTCTTTCTATTTTTAGTAGAGACAGGGTCTCGCTCAGGCTGGTTTCGAACTCCTGACCTTGAGCAATCCGCATGCCTTGGCCTCCCAGAGTGCTAGGATTACAGGTGTGAGCTGCCACGCCTGGCCTGTTTTCAATTATTTGGAGTATGTATACCCAGAAGTAGAATTGCTACATCATAATAATTCTGTGTTTAACATTTTGAAAAATTGCCATACTATTTTTCCACAGCAGCCACACCATTTTACATTCCCACTAGCAATACATAGGATAGCATTCCAATTTCTCCATATCCTTGACAACACTAGTTATTTTCTCTTTTTGATAGTAGTCATCCTAATGGGTATGTAGATGTTGAGCTTTTAAAGAGAGATCACAGGCCGGGCGCGGTGGCTCACGCCTGTAATCCTAGCTCTCTGGGAGGCCGAGGCGGGCGGATTGCTCGAGGTCGGGAGTTCAAAACCAGCCTGAGCAAGAGCGAGACCTCGTCTCTACTATAAATAGAAAGAAACTAATTGGCCAACTAATATATATAGAAAAAATTAGCCGGGCATTGTGGCACATGCCTGTAGTCCCAGCTACTTGGGAGGCTGAGACAGAAGGATTGCTTGAGCCCAGGAGTTTGAGGTTGCTGTGAGCTAGGCTGACGCCACGGCACTCACTCTAGCCTAGGCAACAAAGCAAGACTCTGTCTCCCAAAAAAAAAAAAAAAAAAAAATAAAGAGAGATCACAATAAGCTTGTAGTGATTTTTGCCCATCATTTATTCACAAAAAGCATAGGAAACCCTATCTTTTAGGGTAATGTTTGGTTGTCTTGTAAGCTAGTTGCCTGGTACACTGTCAATTTGGAATAATTAACTAGCCAGTTCTGGAAGTTTGGTAGAGAGCAAAGTGTGGTTATTTGGCAGCTTTATCTTTGGGGTCTTTAGAAAACTCCAGTTTTGGAAACTTGAATACCATATTGACTATAGTTACACATTTTATTTGCATTTACAATCTTTAATTCTCATAAGTATAAAAAGAAATACACATAAAGATGTTTCTAACAGTATTCATAATATTAAAAACTGAAAACAATCCAAGTGTCCAAAAATTATGTGACATGTGTATATACACATATGTACATACAAATATACATGCAGGGGCATACTTCAACCAATAAAATTAATACTATACACCTTTACTTACTGCCATGGGACAATGTTATCATCACATTGTTGAATTCAAAAGCACATTACTGAACAGCAAAATAGTATGATCTCACATAACAATTGGGTTTGTGAGTCTATATTATATTTAAACATATGAATAAAGAAATTCCAGGAGACCAGGTTCAGTGGCTCCAGCCTCTAATCCTAGCACTTTGGGAGGCTGCGGTAGGAGAATCACATGAGGCCAGGAGTTCAAGACCAACCTGCGCAAGAGCGAAACCCCATCTCTACTAAAAATAGAAAAATTAGCTGGGCGTGGTGGTAGATTCCTATAGTCCAGCTGCTCAGGAGGCTGAGGCAAGAGGATCGCTGAAACCCAGGAGTTTGAGGTTGCAGTGAGCTATGATCACATTATTGCACTCTAGCCCATGTGACAAAGTAGACACTTCCTACACTGTCTCAAAAAAAAAAGGAAGGAAATTGTAGAAAGGACATTCACCAAAATGTTAACAGTGGGTATCTTAAAAATGGTAGACTCTCAGATTATTTTTACTTTATGATTTTGGTATATTTGAATTTTTTCTAAAAAAATAATAAAACTTTGTAACACCCAAAATTCATAATAAAAGAAGCAAGAAATACATGCTGCTATTTTTTAAAAGGTTTGGCATCTAGTTTCCTTGGAGAATACATTTCAGAATATTTTATGGTGAGGGAGCTATCCCTAAATGATGGCTCACGCGGAGTCTGTTTTTCTTTATCCCCCGAAGGGGTTGTATGCAATTCAGCTTCATCTTCTCTTAGCTGTACTGTCTAAAGCAAATTGTGGTAAGAAAAAGCTATCATATATCGATATCATCTCTAAAACATTAAGTGATCTTAGTCCTTTTTTACTCTGAAAATCTAGGAATGGAAAAATCCCATTTGTCTAAATCTGATCACATTTTTTCTTCTTGGGTTTCAGGAACCAATAAAATCACGCGCTCCGCAGCTTCATTTAGAGTACAGGTTTTATAAACAGCTTGGCAGTGCGGGTAAGTCAAGTCTTTTTCTCTATTTACTTAGCATATAGCTTAGCTGGAGGCCCTAAAATATACACATTTTCTTGTCTGGTTTAGATTCCTTACCAGACCACATATCTCCCCTGCTTGTTGGATAGGTAAATAAACATTGTCAACCAAAGAACAACTTGCTTCTGGTTCCTGGGAGGGCAGTTGAATTGATTGATTGGAGATCTGTGATGCCATCACTGTGTCCACAGAGCAACCTTCAAATGCTTTCACCTGCCTCAAATACACATGGTATGGGGGATTTGCTTTTTGGTAATTCATTCATTCTTTTCTCATTTCTTTACATATACCAAAATAAAGGCAGAAAGGTTGGTAATTTGTAATCCATATTTTACTACATTGAGACTATTTATCCATTTTAAAGACATGCTAAAATACACACATTCTGAAATACCACAACACTGTCATTTTATCCATTGTTCTCAATTTTCAAAAGCTATCCATATGATTGTAATAATCTATGACCTTTGGTAGTTTTTTTTTTTTTTTTTTTTTTTGAGACAGAGTCTCGCTTTGTTGCCCAGGCTAGAGTGAGTGCCGTGGTGTCAGCCTAGCTCCCAGCAACCTCAAACTCCTGGGCTCAAGTGATCCTACTGCCTAAGCCTCCCGAGTAGCTGGGACTACAGGCATGTGCCACTATGCCTGTCTACTTTTTTCTATATATATTAGTTGGCCGATTAATTTATTTCTATTTATAGTAGAGACAGGGTCTCGCTCTTGCTTAGTTAGGCTGGTTTTGAACTCCTGAACTCAAGCAGTCCGCCTGCCTCAGCCTCCCAGAGTGCTAGGATTACAGGCGTGGCCTTTGGTGATTTTTAAAAATCAAATTTATAATTTTTAAAAAGTCTGTTTTTACCTAAAAGTTCTAATTTTTGAATTATTTTACTGGCTTCCAGAAAAATGTTTTGGCTAAGCAAGTGTTACCCTAAGTGAGGTTGCATCTGTAGGACAACTCTCAGAAGATGAACTCCTTCAGAGCTAGTTTCATTATTTGACATTAGTAGAAATTCCTCTACTTTATGATTCCTGCAGTTTCATAGTTTTATGTGAATGACTGAAGCATGGCTCCAAATTCAAGTACCACTATTGAGGGTACTATTAAGGGAATTTGAGTCTTATTTCCTAAAATATATAGAATTATATAAGAGTCATTGAATGTTATTCAAGTTTTATTATACGCTGACCATGGCAATTATCAGTTAGAGTCATATTGTAGGGAGGCCATGGTGAACTCAACTTTACATGAGTTCTTGTTCATAGTAGCCTTTCAGTATATATTTGTTGGTTGATTGGAGTGTTCCAGACATAAAAATTAAGACTGGCAACTGAGTTCACAGGATGTATGTATAACTTGAGGCTTATTTTCTCTGATGCTCTAGAACTAAATTTTAATTGTTCCTGGTTTCATAATGTTATCATGTTCCAGGTTTCATGAATCTCAGGATAATGACTGTCATAACTCACTTATGATAAGCATATTTGTACATGTCTTATAAAATATAAGGCTCAGGTAAAACCTTGCTCAATCTAGCCCAATTTAGAAGTTTGAGTGGGGAAGTGACTAGTCAGGTTTTCAGGATTTCCTCTGTAAGCCCTTCCAAACAGATGTACCCAATCAGGCCAGTCTTCCCTTTTCAATATGGAACCAAAAAAAAAAAATTCCATGAACTTGTTATATAGGAATAACATCTGTGCTGCTAAGTTTGTATTCTCCCCAAATAAAGAACATTGCAGATTCTTAAAGTTTGAGCATGCTCTGTGCACTGAAAACAAGGAGTAAATAGGGAGAGTATTAGAGGAAAGGGGACCATAAATATTGCCTTTCACTTAAGGCAGCAAGGAAAAGCTGGAACCTCTTGAGACTGGTGCATCATCATTATCCATCAGTGGAAATAGGAGGGCTCTTTTGTAGTGGTCAGGCTGGCTTTGGCTCATAGGTAGGCTGGCCATCATTGGTCTCCTGGTACCTTTTCTAACAATCAGCTGCAACTCATAAAACCTTCTAGGTTTTATATGAAGTTCAGTAGTGATTCCTGGCCTCTTTTCTGCTTCTTGAGATCATCCACTGCTCTTTAAGTAGCTGTGGTGGGTGTTGTCTACTTAATACTCTTGCCTGCAACTAACAGCATAGCCACAAGCTTTTCTGAGATAGGAAGAGCTTTAGATATCTTTTTCAAATCCCCCCCCATATGAATTGAGTTTATATTTTCTTAATGAATGGTCGTCTGTTTCTGCTTGACAACTTCTAACCATAGAGTTCAGCACTTTTCAAGGTACCTCATTGTTGGAAAGACCAAGGTATTTGAAGTTCCAAAAATTGCCTGGTTTTTTTTGTTGTTTTTTTTTTCCTGTGGGGCATAGTTGGTTGGGCCTGCTTTTACCAGCTCAGAGGCATTCTCCACAGGTGTTACATACTGCCTAGTCTTCCCTTTACCATCCACCTCCAAGTCTCCTTTTAAGGCAGATCTCTTTAGTTCCTTCAGTCTTTTTGTATAACATGACTTACAGATACTTCACTATCATTGGTCCACTGGAAAGGATGGGCATATACAAATACAACACCCCTGGTTTTGTGATGTTCCTCTTAAGTGAGCCTCATAAAACAAAATAAGTAACTCTGGATATGGAGACAGTGGGATTACTGTCCTTTTTTACCTGGACACAACATTCTCTTAATTTACGTTAGATCCTTCCAGCTCTATTAAGGTATAGTTGACAATTAAAAATTGTATTTAAGGCCGGGCGCGGTGGCTCACGCCTGTAATCCTAGCTCTTGGGAGGCCGAGGCGGGCGGATTGCTCAAGGTCAGGAGTTCAGAACCAGCCTGAGCAAGAGCGAGACCCCGTCTCTACTATAAATAGAAAGAAACTAATTGGCCAACTGATATATATATATAAAAAATTAGCCGGGCATGGTGGCTCATGCCTGTAGTCCCAGCTACTCAGGAGGCTGAGGCAGAAGGATTGCTTGAGCCCAGGAGTTTGAGGTTGCTGTGAGCTAGGCTGACGCCACGGCACTCACTCTAGCCTGAACAACAAAGCGAGACTCTGTCTCAAAAAAAAAAAAAAAAAAAAATTGTATTTAAGATGTACATGATTTTTTGGTATATGTATACATTTGTGAAGTGATAACCACATATGGTAGCTTTTTAACAGCCATTTCATATAGTTGAAGTTTGTGCTTGTATGGAGTTGCACTCAACTGAAATCTATAAATATTTTTTAATGTGAGCTGCCATCAATCAAGGCATTTTGCATTTTATGTTAGTTGTATAATTGGTTTCAAGCACCTAAACTTCTTAAGTTTCATTTTATTTTATCCCGCCATTACTATATTGGGATATGCTAAAAATCCTGATTCTGTTATACTGTTGATGATTAGGTATTGACTTTTTTTAAAAATAATAATTGCATATTTCCTCCCCCTGCCCATAAGATCAAGGGTGCCTTCTTCACCCTTATATCTCAAGGCCCAACTGAAACATGGTAAGCAGTCATAAATAGTCCAGTAGCAGAAAGATGTTAGGAAGTTTTAATAAGCTTGACTTTTTAGATTTTTACCGAATTATTAATAAAAATGTTTCTTATGAGTGGCCAAGAAAAGGAAATTTATTTCGAAAGTAGGTCAGTTAACAAGAAAGTAGACAAGATTTCACAGCCTCATTGTAAATGTGAACATGAACATTACAGATTGTTCCTAACTTACAAGCATAGACATTTCTCCCCCTATTTTTCAGAGTAAGTTTCCAGTTGCAAGTGTGACTTGTCAGTAGTTAACATTTGAGAAGCTAGAGCACATACACCATTCTCCAGACCAAGGCAATGTTATAGCATTGTAAATAAACAAACAACCTTTTGTGCCAAAGATATACAAAGAGCACAATAATGTAATTAGTGTTTTTACTCTCTAGTGCTTTGTCCAGCATTCATCACAGGCCAACAATTTGTAAAATGTTTGAGTATCCTGACAAGAGAGGCTTAAAAAAAATGAAAAGCTCATTGTGACATAGATTTATTCAGTAAATTCATCAGTGCTCATAAAATAAATGTATGAAATTCTTTGGGAGAAATCATAATGAATTTGAAGAGTACTTACTGCTAATGTGACCAGAGCTTAAGACTTTAAATTCCTAAAATAGGAACTTTTGTGTTGGCCTGAGAGTATGATTGTTTCTTTCATTAGTATCCAGTTCTTAATCATTACCTTGGCCTTTTGGACCCCCATTTCACTTTGACAATATGATCCAGGAATTCATACCAGTTCTCTAATCATGTGGAGATAGAACAAGAATGGCAACACTGGATAGTGTGAACATGGTTCAAGTTGGAGCTCTTCCTCAATGTCCCTGCTTTTCCTTGTTTGATCTTTTAACTGCTTCCTTTCAGTTTCATTTTGTTTTCTGCTGGGTGGTCATACATTTCAAGCTTTGTTTGCTGATTAGAAACCAAATTGTAAAAGCTTAAAGGATATTTTGACAGGAAATGACGATCTGTATTCTTACCACCCTATCCCAGGTACATTTCATTTGAATGTTTCTTTCTCCTTACCGTATATAAACATATTTCATAATCTAAGTTAATATGCAACATGTCTTCTTTCACTTAACATTATAACATTTGTCATGATGCCTCAGTTTTGCTTCTAGTCATTGTATAATATTCCATCAGCTTCATAGATCATGATCTATGTCCTCGTTTGTATTTTCAGACATGTAAAAAAAAATTTTTTTAAACAGTATCTTAGGCTGGAGTACAGCTCACTGCACCTTCAAACTCCTAGGCTAAAGTGACTCTCCTGCCTCAGTCTCCTGAGTAGCACCACCACACCTAGCTATTTATAAAATTGTTTTTGAGACAGAGTTGTGTTTTTTTGGTTTGTTTGGTTTTGTTTTTTTGTGTTTTTTTTTTTTTGAGATAGAGTCTCACTTTGTTGCCTAGGCTTGAATACCGTGGCGTGAGTCTAGCTCACAGCAACCTCAAACTCCTGGGCTCAAGTGATCCTCCTGAGTAGTTGGTACCACAGGTATGCACCATAACACCTGGCCAATTTTTCTATTTTTAGTAGAGATGGGGTCTCACTCTTGTTCACGCTGGTCTCCAACTCCTAAGTTCAAGTGATCCTCCCACCTCAGCCTCCCAGAATGCTAGGATTATAGGCATGAGCCACTGCCCCCGGGCAAGACAGAGTCTTACCATGTTGCTCAGGCTAGTCTTGGACTCCTGGCCTCAGGGAGTTTTCCTGCCTCAGCCTCCCAAAGTGCTAGGTTTACAGATATGGGCCCTGCCTGGCCAAATCATTTTTATTTGGGGAAATTATTTTTACCTATTGATTTCTGATTCTTGAGTATTTTGTTATTCTTCTGTCGCCCAGGCTGGTGTGCAGTTGTGAGGTACTGTGCCTGGCCAAAACTTACCTAAGTTCTCTCAGCCCCCATATGATGGTTATTTTCAAATGTTTAAAGAGCTATGATATGAAAAATTAGATTTATTTCAAATGATTCCAGAGCAGAAATTATTATAAATGCAAGAAGATAAATTTTGACTTTGTATAACAATTAGAATACTGTGAAAGTAACCTAAAATGTCTGTCAATATGAGACTGTTTAAAGACATAATGGGCCGGGCGCGGTGGCTCATGCCTGTAATCCTAGCACTCTGGGAGGCCAAGGCGGGCGGATTGCTCGAGGTCAGGAGTTTAAAACCAGCTTGAGCAAGAGCAAGACCCCGTCTCTACTATAAATAGAAAGAAATTAATTGGCCAGCTAATATATAGGAAAAATTAGCTGGGCATGGTGGTGCATGCCTGTAGTCCCAGTTACTCGGGAGGCTGAGGCAGCAGGATTGCTTGAGCCCAGGCGTTTGAGGTTGCTGTGAGCTAGGCTGACACCACGGCACTCACTCTAGCCTGGACAACAAAGCAAGACTCTGTCTCAAAAAAAAAAAAAGAGTGTGTCGCTGTTACTGCAATTTGGCTTTCCACCTTCCCGCGCGACTGTGGCAACAACATGCTTCTGATTCAGCCCGTTGACTTAGCTGTAAAAATACATTAATCAGAACTGCCTGGCATCTTCCTGAACAAGACTTTCAGTAGTGCCCAGTATGCTTCACTTCATCCGGAAGTTTTCACAAGCATCTTCAAAGAGGCTGAAGTACCTTTTCCCGATGGGACTAGGAGCCATCAGGAAAACAGATACACTTTCTCTCAAGACATCTCTCCAGCAAAACTTTTTCCCTTGGTTTCCAAGGCCTTGGCTTTTGTCATCCTTTCCAGTGTGTATGAGCAAGACACAATGCTATCATACATCCCCATGCAGCTTTAAGAAAAAGCAGAAGCAAACGGTACTTCCAGCCAGGCCACCAAGCACCATCACTTACCTGCCTGACAGCTCAAAGCCAGCATTATATGTAACTTTGGCAGGACTAATCCCCTTCTTTGCTCCACCACTGTTTATGCTGATGACAAAGACTTATATCCCTGTATTAGCTTTTACTCAGATGGCTTATGGAGCCAGTTTCCTATCTTTCTTGGGAGGGGTCAGATGGGGTTTTTCTTTACCAGAAGGTAGTCCAGCCAAACCGGACTATCTTAATTTAGTTAATAGTGTGGCTCCTCTTGTGTTTTCATGGTTTGCCTTCCTTATTTCTGAAAGACTCAGTGAAACCATAGTCACAGTTATAATAGGTTTGGAGATAGCATTACACCTTGAACTTTTCCTCTTGCCACAGTATCCCAACTGGTTCAAAGCCCTGAGGATAGTAGTCACTTTATTGGCCTTTTTTTCATTTATAATCACCTTAATAGTTAAAAATATTTATCCAGAGAGAGGACCTAAGAGACCTGGTCAAATAGAATAAACATAAAGCTACACTGTAGATAATACTAGTATACTGGCTGTATGCCTTATAAAGTTGTATTTTGTCATCACCTTTTCCTACTCCTGTTTGGCTCTTTTTCCCCCCTACCAATGGCAATTTATTCTTCACAGATTGTTTTTCATTTCTAGAAATCATTATTCCATAGTAAGTACTTAAGCAAGGGTGTGAAAATTCCTGACAAGTGCTTTTCATTTCATATTAGGTTAGTTTTCATTCAGACTTTTTATAGTCACCTACTTAAACATTTCAATGTTTTAATTGTCTTGAAAAATATAAAATAAACAAGATGAGCTTTCTGTCCGTGGACGCTGCCGAGGAAGCATCGCTGAAGTCTCTTCCCACTGCCATCATGTCTATGTCAGAGTCTCCTAAAGAACCCGAACAGCTGCGGAAGCTATTCATCGGAGGATTGAGCTTTGAAACAACCGATGAGAGTCTGAGGAGCCATTTTGAGCAATGGGGAACGCTCACGGACTGCGTGGTAATGACAGATCCAGACACCAAGCGCTCCAGGGGCTTTGAGTTTGTCACATCCACCACTGTGGAGGAGGTGGATGCAGCAATGAATGCACGACCACACAAGGTGGATGGAAGAGTTGTGGAACCAAAGAGAGCTGTCTCCAGAGAAGATTCTCAAAGACCAGGTGCCCACTTAAGTGTGAAAAAGATCTTTGTTGGTGGCATTAAAGAAGACACTGAAGAACATCACCTAAGAGACTATTTTGAACAGTATGGGAAAATTGAAGTGATTGAAATCATGACTGACAGAGGCAGTGGCAAGAAGAGGGGCTCTGCTTTTGTAACCTTTGATGACCATGATTCTGTGGATAAGATTGTCATTCAGAAATACCATACTGTGAATGGCCACAACTGTGAAGTAAGGAAAGCCCTGTCAAAGCAAGAGATGGCTAGTGCTTCATCCAGCCAAAGAGGTCGAAGTGGTTCTGGAAACTTTGTTGGTGGTCGTGGAGGTGGTTTTGGTGGAAATGACAACTTTGGTTGTGGAGGAAACTTCAGTGGTTGAGGTGGCTTTGGTGGCAGCCATGGTGGTGGTGGATATGGTGGCAGTAGGGATGGGTACAATGGATTTGGTAATGATGGAAGCAATTTTGGAGGTGGTGGAAGCTACAATGATTTTGGCAGTTACAACAATCAGTCTTCAAATTTTGGACCCATGAAGGGAGGAAATTTTGGAAGCAGAAGCTCTGGCCCCTATGGTGGTGGAGGCCAGTACTTTGCCAAACCACAAAACCAAGGTGGCTATGGTGGTTCCAGTAGCAGCAGTAGCTATGGCAGTGACAGAAGGTTTTAATTATTCCCAGGAAACAAAGCTTAGCAGGAGAGGAGAGCCAGAGAAGTGACAGGGAAGCTACAGGTTACAACAGATTTGTGAACTCAGCCAAGCACAGTGGTGGCAGGGCCTACCTGCTACAAAGAAGACATGTTTTAGACAGTACTCATGTGTATGGGCAAAAAACTCGAGGACTGTATTTGTGACTAATTGTATAACAGGTTATTTTAGTTTCTGTTCTGTGGAAAGTGTAAAGCATTCCAACAAAGGGTTTTAATGTAGATTTTTTTTTTTGCACCCATGCTGTTGATTGCTAAATGTAATAGTCTGATCATGACACTGAATAAATGTGTCTTTTTTTTTTTTTAATGTGCTGTGCAAAGTTAGTCTACTCTGAAGCCATTTTGGTAAACTTCCCCAAAAGTGTGAAGATAGAATTCCTTCAGGGTGATGCCAGGTTCTATTTGAAATTCATTTACAACCTGGGTGGAGGAGCCATTGTCTTCAGAAACCGTGGTGTAGTTGAACTGATGGTTACTGTTGTGAAGTGAAGTTCACCATTAAAAGGGGTCATGCAAGGAAAAATCATGGAATTATTGGTTATAAAGATGATTGTTGGCATATCCTATGCAATATATCTAAATTGAATAATGGTACCAGATAAAAATTATAGATGGGAATGAAGCTTGTGCATCAACCATTATCATGTGTAATCAATAAACGATTTAATTCTCTTGGAAATAAAATAAAATAAACAAGATGAAAAATCAAAAAAAAAAAAAGACATAATGGTATATTTATATCATGGAATTAGCTGTTAAAAAGAAGGTAGAGCTCTGTTTACTAATGTGGAAAGAAGCCACAATATATTTTTAAGTGAAAAGGTTTGCAAAATAGTATAGCATGGTCCTATTTGTGTGGTACACACACACACACACACATATATAATCTGATATGTCCACATAAGCATAGAAAATATCTGAATTGATACACAAAAAAAATTTAATTTAAACACAGGGTCTTGCTCTGTTGTTGGAGCTAGAGTGTAGTGGCATCATTATAACTCATTGCAACCTCAAACTCTTGGGCTGAATCAGTCCTCCTGGCTCAGCCTTCCCAGTAGCTAGGACTACAGGTGCACACTACTATACCTGGCTAATTCTATTTTTTTTTTTTATAGAGATGGGGTCTCTCTGTTGCTCAGGCTCGTTCTGCATACAAAAAATATATTAATGATTACCTTTGAAGAGGTGTGATTAGGAGTGGGAAGCCCTGGCACTTAAATTTTCACTTTAACCCTATAATAGTATTTTTGGTTTTTGCCCTGAGCATGTATTATTATTATTTTTTTTTTCTTTTTTTTTTCCAGATGAATTGGTGTAGAATTTCTTTTTTGGTGTAGAATATTTTTATAATAAATTTTTAAAAGACTGCAGCAGTGGATTTATTGTCTCTGTCCTATCTCTTTCATCACCATAGCCTAATGTTAAAAGCCTGAGCAGCCTGCTCCTGTCCCTGTTTATCCAGAACTGCACTTTAACAGTTTCAGGCACAGGTTCAACAAATGCTAATAAAGTAGTACAAAATCTTGTTTCCTTTATTTCTGAACATCTTCTCAAAGGAAGAAAAAAAGTAAATTGCAAACTGGAATGAGTTATCTTAGATTGCAGTAGGATTTCCTATCTGTGAGGGGGGAAGCCAGTGTTCAGGCAGAAGTTGAACAGGTATACATTTGAAATATGGTAAGGGAGATTTGTGCCCTGGATAGAAAGTTATAATATGTGACTTTTTAAGACCTATTTAAACTGTTAAAATTTTATAAGAAACTCTTAAAAAAATACATGTTCTTTATTGATTATGTTTCTTGTCCAGATAATTTATATTTGGTATCTTCCTCAGTTTCAGAAGATACAAACTTATTTTTTGGAAGTTAATTACATTATAAATATAACTCTGGAAAAAGAACAATGCTGGTCAGTGAATTAACATCAAAACGATATTTGTGTTTTCACACATTGGAATGGCAGGGGTGGGCAGTAGATTTTTACTTACAAATTTTAGTTCAAATTATTGGACCAGAAACTGGTGGAGAATTTCCAAAACTTACTAGAAGGAAAAACAAAATTTTTTAAACGCAAAACTGCAACTGTATGTAATAACTATGAAAATGTATTATATTCTTTTATTGATAGAAAGCCAAGTTTTAGATTTTCTCTGGCTAAATCAAACAGGTTCTTCAATTTTGTCTTATTTTTGCTTCATTCCTTCTTGTATTACTGTGTTTTGATTTTTCAAGGCACAGAGGGCTTTGACATTGTATATGATTTGCTTTGCTTTTCAGATATAGTTTCTATAGATTGTTCTTAGTACACAAGATTGGAAGTCAAGGACTTAAAGATTAACTCTGGATTCCCTGGAACTTGCTTGCTCTCCTAATAGCTTCAGTATTTGTTTGGTACCATGGGCCAGTTTGCTTCACAAGAAAGAGTGACACTGTTATATGATAGCAATTAAAGGCTGTAAGCCTTACAATCAACAGATGAAAGTGTCCTGTGAGTTATAACCATTTTTCTTATTTTCTTATCATTTTCTTCAGTCATCAATGTTATGTTAATTGTATGATAGTCACCATAAGCAAGTTCCAAATTTATTTTTTTTTCTTTTCTTTTTTTTTTTTGAGACAGTCTCGCTTTGTTGCCCAGGCTAGAGTGAGTGCCGTGGCGTCAGCCTAGCTCACAGCAACCTCAAACTCCTGGGCTCAAGCAATCCTACTGCCTCAAGCCTCCCTAGTAGCTGGGACTACAGGCATGCACCACCATGCCCAGCCAATTTTTACTATATATATTAGTTGGCCAATTAATTTCTTTCTATTTATAGTGGAGACAGAGTCTCACTCTTGCTCAGGCTGGTTTTGAACTCCTGACCTTGAGCAATCAGCCCGCCTGGGCCTCCCAGAGTGCTAGGATTACAGGCGTGAGCCACCACGACTGGCCCAAATTTATTTTCTTTTTATAGGAATGTTTTTAGGTGTCTCTGTGCCCTCGGGGTCTTTTACCTAGGAAGGTATGTATATTGTAAATTTACAAATTTCCCAGCTCACGAATCTTTTATCCAGCACAGCTCCCACTTTTGCTTGTATCCAAGTACATAGGAGCAGGACTTGGTGGATGACAGATGGGGCAGAGATGGGCAACAGCCAGTAGCCTAAACAGATCCACACTAGGAGACTGACAGCGTGAGAATGAAGACTCATAGCTAGATATTGGTTGGCCACATGACGCGGGCCTGGTATATGTTTGTTAATTGAATAAAAGAGTAAACCAGAGCTGAGCACATAGCTGAAGTGGGAGGAGAGAAGAAGGAGGGAGGGGAATGAGTCATCAAAGGTAGGAACAAATGAAAGGATTGGGGATTGGGAAGGGAGGCAAATGGCAAGAAAATAGGACTCTAGATAGAAAAATGAGAATGCAAGTAGATAAAATATGGTGGCAATCTCTGACATAGACTGAAGCTGTAAAATTGCCTTCATTACTGTTCCCAGAGTTAAGCTGTCTATTTCTTAGGGACACTGGTTTTGAACAATAACTTAAACATTGTTAATAAAAGTACTAGAGTAAGTTATGGTAAATTCCTACAACTGGGCATTTGGAAAGTCCTAACTGTAGTAGAAACAGAAACTATAATGATCTCTTTGCTTCTGG